TTGTGTGTGTGTGTGTGTGTGTGTGTGTGTGTGTGTGTGTGTGTGTTGTCGCCTGTCCGAGCTTCTTTAGTCTTTCTCAGATGCATCTTTACAGAGGGAGCAATAAACTCCCCCTCCCCCAAAAAACACCCAGAACACACCCAGACAGCAGGGCCAGTCAGACAGGGTTTGCTGTAGCCGACTCTTAGGCTTCTTCTCTGGCCTAGGGCTCACAACGGGGCTGTAGCTGCACACACACACACACACACACACACACACACACACACGTTGGCCTTTCTGTGTTGTCACCGTTTTGGCAGCCTAGCCTAGCAGGGGTTCATATTTCCACAGGGGTGAATCTGGGGGATCTGAGCTGTATCTTCAGATAATAGCAACAACTGCTTTTTACACACTGTTTACAGCCTGCAATTTAGCAGCCTGTGCGCGCACATGCACACACACACGTAGAGATCCGTCAAACATAAAAGCAAAGACCTGTGATAACAACCCGGGGTTGTCTGGGGACCTGGGCTTCACAGAACAGAACAGAACATACATGGCGTCGCAGCGCTTCAGCTTTTATTTGATGTAACTGTTGGCAAATTTTCACAAACGTCTAAAACACAACCAAAACAATTAGAAATAAAAATCAATTTTAAAAAATGCTTACAGTATATTGTTGGCCATTTTTATTATTTCTTTATTTTTAGAAGGTTTTGTATTATTACTGTGCTGTATTTTTATTAAAACAAATGTTTTTTGTCTTGTTTTGTTTTCTGACAAATCGGTACAATGTAAAAAAGTTTAAATCAGTGTCATTATTTTTTCAAATTTTATCATCTTTTATTTAAAAAATAGTCATGTATAGCTAATATTATAATTATTAACAAAGGGCTATTTTATAATGAGCAATTATAGTTTTTGTTTCTGTTTTAAACATTATCATATAAAAACTTGAGGGTATAAATATTAGCAGTGCTCCATATTTACGTGCACTGAAGAAAAAGCACAGACTGGCCTTTTTACAACTCTACGTTTAGTTGATCATTAGTTTTATGCTGTTGGTTTCTAGGTTTGCTTGACATTCACCTACAAAGGTGCTACAGGAGACAATTCTTTCTAAAGTTTATAGTATAGTTCAGACCTCACGCTATATCACTCGGAATAAAATATATTAGAAGTCATTAAATGGATCACCTAGACAAGATTTTATATTGTTTTCCCTTCCATATGCAGTCAGACACTTCTGTGTGACAGACCTGTGCCGCCTTCCCTTCATTCGTTTCTTTCCTCCCACAAATCCCAAACCCACCCTCACACCCGGCCTCCAATTACAACACGCAGTTTTATTTTAAAGCAGCTTATTTAGCTTTATGTGCGGACTTAATAGAACCATAAAGTCGCATTAAAGGCCGACTTCCCCCCTGTGGCCTTACTGCGACCAGTCGCTTGATGGCGCTCTTGCTCCACCGATAAACCAGAGCTCAGCTAAGGGTTTGCTCGCCTCAATGGGAGACATATACATGCAGGGGCAGCTTTTAGAGTGGCGAGGCTCGCTGTATCCCCTTTTCTTAATGTATTTTAACGGAAGCATTTTAAAGAAGCGGTGAGGTGACTTTGCTTTGGAACATCATGACATAAAGCCTTTCAGGTCGTTTTCACAGTGTACCGGGAACAAGAAGAAGAAGAAGAAGAAGAAGAAGAAGAAGAAGAAGCAAAAGAAGAACAAACGTTGAGGCCTTGGAAAATAATAACCTCATAGACGTGTAGAATAGGTGTCTGCTGCCAGGAGCTGCCATGAGCAAAACCCACAGCCAGAACTCACCCTCCTTTACACTTCTCTGTCTTATGCAGACACGGAATGCTTGAAGGGTACAAGTGCTTGTGTACTCATGAACATTTTTCTTGAGGTAAAAGCGCATGTAAGACATCCAGTGCACTACTTCAATGGTCAAATCAATTCTCTTCACTATTAAGATGTTTTTAATTAGTGTGGATTTCAGGTAGAGGACATGACGCACAACGGAATGAATTTTAATGCGTGTTTTTTTACGGCTCCGTGACACTCTATGAGGCCGGTTGTTGCTGTTTTTCCAAGTGTGTATATTCTGCAGGATTGACCCAGTAACAGGCTTTTATGGTCCACCAATTTAGTGTTCTGACTTTGACGGCGGGGGTGTGTGGAAGCTTTTTCAAAGCTTGTCAAATAATGTGACTTTTCCCACACCCCAGCGTGCACACAGCAGATCTCATATAACCAAACGTACTGGAAGCGTAGAACATGAAGTTTCAATAAGACCATATTCGTGGTAATAAACTAGAAAAATACTGCGGCAATTACTCTTCAGAAAGTTGGGCATACAATCAGATGGTTTAGCACCACACAGTCTGTAATTCAGGCGGCTGCTGGTAACACTTGGGCCTCTTATATCTGCACTATATAATTTAAATAAATCAGATTCCGGTAATGACGTTTTTATTAGGTGGATTGTGATTGCGCAATGAAAGCGAAAACAATCCATGTTGAAAATGAAATTATAGTTCCAAAACAAGATTATACATCTAGAATCTAAGGATGAACTTCGGATTTTTCTCGCCCAGTGTTTACTGCGTTGCCAATTCGTCTTATCTGATTGATCGGCACCTTTCAAAACTGTGGTAGACTCCAATGAAATTTCTGTCAAAAAAGAAATAAGTCCGCATTTGAGGATTTTTGTTTGTTCTAATCGCTGCACTTGAGTCTGTTTTGCCCTTTATGAGATCCGTTTGTTCTACAAGGCCAAGCTTAACCTTTCCACAACTTATCCCTCCTTAAAAAAGCCCTTATTCTACATCACACCCCGACAGGAAGACCCACAGCCATATGGAAAACAAGGCGAAAATGACAACTAAATATCGGCCGTGGATGAGCCATTTATCGCCTCCGGTCGCGCAAAGGGCACGTCGTAAAAACACCCTTTTTGTTTCTGTGCTGCCGGGACGTAAACAAGCAAACACTGCCCCTCCGTTTTATGAAGCTTTATAGTTTGTTAAAGCGTTTACAGCCACTTTCTACTAGCCTATTACCCTCTCCAGTCCTCCTTCCATGTTTATGGAGATCATATTTATCAAAGTATACTATGATCAGAAAGCATACGTGCAGGGCCCTTGTGCTCATATTTTATCTGACCAGCAGCAGCAGCAGCAGCAGCAACAGTCAGGGCTGGAATGGGCGAGAGAAAAGGCTGAGAGAACTGGTTTTAAAAACCTCAATTACATTTATAGACTAGTACTTGTTAAAACCGAAACCAATTAGGACGCACTGCCCTCCACTCCCTCTCCCTTGTCCTCCTCAGTCTCTGTTAACCTCTCTCGCGCAGGCTCCCTGACATTTTCGGGCCTCATTCAATTCGCTCCCGTGCAGCCACGCTCTCCCCGTTAAGGATTCACGGAGAGAAATGAGAAAGAGCAATTAATGGGGTGCGATACACCCCCAGCCCTCCCCCCACCACCGCCCTCACCACCACAATCATCATCATCCACCAGCCTCAATCTCAGCTTTAAAGTGAAAAAAAAGTGGTTGGTGTGTGTGCGCGCACGTATCTGTGTGCATTTCATTTGATCAAATGCTAGGCGGCAGAAACCTCATTGCCCCGTCGTCTTCATCTTGTCCTCTCTTCCTCTCTTCCTTCATTCCCTCGCTCCCTTTATATTATCAGAGGCGCGCGGAGCTGCTCGAGTCCACGCCGGGAGATTATGGTCTAGGCTTACAGGCGCGTGCGGGTACAGGCGCAAAAAGAAGAAGAAGAAGAGGAAGAAGAAAGTGTAATGAAGGCTGTGTGTGCGCACCCGTGCACGTTTGTCCGTGTGCGTGGAAAAGCCAATGGGATGAAGAGCTGATAATAGATGCAAATTATCCCTGAAACCGACACACACACACACACACACACACATCGGGGCCAGGAGGAGAAACAGAGATAAAGAAAGAGAGGGAGAGAGCGCGCGCAGGAGAGACTCGGCGAGAGAGAGAGGAGGGGGAGAGAGAGAGACAGAGAGAGAGGGAGAAAAAAATATGAAACAACTCATTTGCAGAGGAGTAAATCACGGAAAACCCGTTTGAGAGAGCGACAGGGCTCCCGCTTACAGCGCTAACACCGGAATTGTGATGCGCACAAGCCCTTCCTCCTCCACTTCTCCCTCTTCTTCTCCTTCCTCTTCTTTTTCTTCTTCTTCGCTGGAGATTTTATGGAAACGGTGTGATTGTTGTTATTGTTGTTGTGGTGGTGGTGGCTGTGG